CCATGTGGTTGCCTCCGGGCAGGCAGGGATCGAACTCATGCTGAAGTGGCTTTAGCTTTTTAGTGCTGTGCTTTAACCCGCTGCGCCACCAGGGAGGACCGCTCACACACTACTTTTTTGGTGATCTGGTTTTTTAAATTCGAGTCATTATATTTTGGCTTGTGGTGGTAATTGGCTTGGTAGTTTTTATTTGCTTTTCCCTGATGGCTAGTGAGATTGAATATCTTTTCATGTCTAGATGTAAAATACACATACAGCCACTTGTATTTTCTCTTTTATGAAATACCTTTTTATGTCTCTTACCTGCCTTTCTATCAGAGAACCTACAAAGACTCTTTGCCTTTTTTCATTGACTTCTAAGTGTGTAGATATTCTGTGTAATGCAAATATAGCCTCCACTCTCATGTATATGTTCTAGGTATTAGTCCTTTGTTGAATGGTTTGCAAATTTTTTTTCTCCATTTGTAACTTGTCTTTTTATCCTCTTACTAGGGTATTTCACAGAACAAAAGTTTTAAAATTTGGTGAAGTCCAATTTATCAATTTTTTCCTTTTTAAAAAAAATCACATGCTTAATATCAGTTCTAAGAACTCTTTACTGAGACCTAGATCCCTGTGACTTCTGATAGATTTTCTCCCCCCTAGACAATTCACAGTTATATGCTTTCATTAGGCCTGTGATTCATTCTGAGTTAACATGTGTAGAAGGTGTGGTATTTGGCTCAAGGTTAGTTTTTTTCACCATGGATGTCCAGTTGTTCCAGCACCATTCATTGAAAAAGTTACCTTTTCTCCATTGCAGTAATTTTATATCGTTGTCAAATCAGATGGATATTTGTGTGGGTTTGTTTTCCTGCTCTTGATTCTGTGCCACTGGTGGTGTGTGTTCTTTCCTCCGCCACACTCTCTTCACTGTTTCACTCTATTATGAGTCTTAGTATTACAAGAGTGATGCCTCCCACTTGTCCTTTTTAAAACAAAATGATCTTATGAACACCTTTTCTTTCCATAGAAAAAATAGAATAATCATGTCCATATTTACAAAATTTCAATTTTAAAAACAATAAGTTCAACTTCTATATCAGTTGGTTGGGGGAGAACTGATATCTTTAGTATCTTTATTGTTGGATCTTCCAAGTCATAACTATCTCTCTTCGTTTATTTAAATCTTCTTTGATTTCTTTCATCAACATTATATACCTTTCAGTATACAAACCTATATTGTTCAATTTACAGCTACATGTTTCATTTTTCTTTTGGGTGATTATCAACAGTATTGCGTTTTTAATTTTAGGATCCATGTGTTAATTGCTAGTAGGTAGACATGCAATTTGATTTTTCTATCTTTGTTTGCTAAAACTTAGGAGAGAGAAGAGGGAGAGGGAGGGAAATACTTGTGGCCAGTTCTGCATAGACAAGCCTGTATTCTTTAGACAGGGACAGTTTTATTTCCTTTCCAATCTGTGTGGTTTTTTTCTTTTTCTTTTTCTTTTTCTTCCCTTTTCCTGGTTGCCCAGGTCAGAATTTGTAGCACTCTGATAAACAAGGGTGATGAGAGCCACCCCCTCCTGCTTTGTTTCTAAGCTTGGAAAGGGCAACTTCCAGGCATTCACTATTAAGTATAGTATGAATTGGAGCTTTGCTATAGCTGTAGTGTATCAAGTTGAGGAAGTCCCCTCAGATCTATTTTCCTATTCTGTTTTGTTTTTTTGATGGGTGCTTTTTTTTTTTTTTGGTATTTTCTTTTTTAGCTTGTTAATATGATGATTTGCGTTGATTAAAACATTATTGAATGAGTCTTGCATTCCAGGAATAAACCCATTTGACATAAGTGTGGACTTTGCAAATGTGATCCAGTTAATGATTTAAAATTTTTTTTCATTATTTTTGCATAGAAGATCTGGAGTGTAGGCCAGAAATGCAGGGGAGAGAGGATTCCTCAGAGACAGTGGGAAGCAGAACAGGCAGATCTACTGAAATACACTGCTGAGGGGAGAGTGGGAGAGACAAGAGGGGCCTGCTGCACCCTATGAGGGTCAGCTCCCTGGCTGGGGATGGAACTCACGCGATAGGGTGACAGTGATGAGACGTACCCCTTGGCCACCAGGAAGGCCCCAGTTAAGGCTTTTAAAATGGAGATAGCACCCTGGATTATTATGGTGGGTTCAGTGTAATCACAGGGACAAGGAAGAGTTTGCTAGAGGAAA